TTTTAAGTGTATGTTTATTTGTAACTGATTTATAATACCGACGCTTTTATTTTATTTTCTGATTTTGAAATTTAAAAAAATAAATAAGACTTTTTAAACTCCCATTTATTTTTGAAATATGTTAATTTTGAAACACCCTAATATATAAATTTTACTTTGATTTCGTTGATTATATTTCTCAATGCAGTTTCGGCAAATATAATAAAATCTTGGTTGCTTGGAGTTATAACTTATATATATATTTCTTGTAATAGATTTATTATGAAAGTTTATCTTATATTTATAACCTTTTTTATATTTTTTTAATTAAGATCTATTGGTTGGCAAGAATAATCTTTGCCATAAATTTCGTACAGACCAAACATGATGGACAATGCATTCAAGCGAAAACTTAATGTTGAATGTGTTGACATTGTCGAAATATTAAAAATATATACAGTATATCATTTTATATTACTAATCATACCCAAATCAAAAGTTTATCACTGCCGAATCAAAAACTTAATCAGCTGCCCCAGTTAGAGTGAAAACAGCTGTAATTTTACGCATGCAATTTTATTAAAATTTATACGTATAAGTAACCAATTTTGGCATGTACTAAATTTATTAGTTATTGAAACAATAACAGATAATTAACACCAATACATATCTCATTACACAAACGCTTACTTCCAATGGCACCCTCTTCTAATCTATCAATTTCATTTACTGCCATTATATAATTTATACACGCGTTGTTTTGTCTCATCTAAGAGCTTTACTACGATGCGACTGTTGACAAATAAATAACTATATATGGTATATATCGATATTGATAAATACAAAAATAAGTAATACAAGAGTGTAAATAAAAAAATAAAAAAAATATAATGATATGTGCGATAGAGATTTCCCGTTGAACAAGTAACATCACTTATTGTTGAGACGTTCGGGTATTGAAGGATGGGTTTGTCATTGAACAATGGGTTTAATAAAATCAAGGAAGCAATTTTTTAAAAAAAAGTCCTTTAAACCTTACCTTAAACCTATAATTAAATACGTAGATAACATCATATTCTACATATTTAAATTCGATTTGTTAAAATTTTGACCGGCTAATTTTGGGGCCTATATCGATCGATATGTATTGCCGTTACTGAGTTGCGCTAGTACAGTAACGGTAAAATCCGCTATGTATGCAAAAGCGGATTTCACCCTTATTGACCTACATAGCAGGTTTACTAGTTCTCAACTCAGATTTGTATATAATTACTCGGATTATTAGATCATATCGATATAGCGATAGATATCTTGAAAAAAAGGGAATCTTTAGTAAGTGTGGGTAAAGTGACCAACTATGTAAATGTCTCATGACTATCAATCACATTCGGTAAAATCGAATGATTTATGACTATCAATCGCATTTGGTAAATATCGAATGATTTTCGATAAGTCTCTATGATGAATCAAAATTTTTTGCATCATTTCAATAAGTTTCTGAGATGAATCAATTGATTGCACAATTCGATAAGTCTCTGATACGAATTAAAATCATTTTTTTTACCATTCAATAATCTCCAAGATGAATCAAATGGAACAAAAATTAGTAACGCTAGCTCCTTACTCTTGAATTAGCGAACCACAATACCCCGAAGGCACGAGATTTAAATATGAACCCTTTGGGTTATTCAATATACCCATATAATAACTACAGTATCTTATTGCACGGTGTCTGGTGTCACATAAGACCCGAACAATAATACCTGATGACCATTACTCAATCCCAATTCATATGAAATAGTTAATATGCAGGCTGGCGATAATTTACGTATAAGGCCTGTTAATTAAATATATTATTACAAGCTAAGTTTATATAGGCTATACTCCATAATTGTACTTAAACTTATTTGTACTTTTCGTGTAACTAACTTTCATATTTCTTCACAATTTAGTATGTTGATAGAATTTGTTAATGTGATGGTTTTATTATGAATAACGTTAAGCATTTAGGATAAACAGAATTCGTAATGATGATGCAAAAAAATAAAATATATAAGTACAGTATTGCACTCTTTTTTTTTAAAAAAAAAAAAAGATTCTAAAAAATTAAAGTAAAATGTATATTGAATCGTTAACACGGTTATCTAACGATATCATAAAGTTAATACATAATTCTGAAGGATACGACGTTAAAATAAAAGTCGGAGAATCTCCAAATACACAAGAATTTAAAGCTCATTCGTTAATATTGAGAGCTAGGTCTCCTTATTTTAATAGAGCTTTATCACACGACTGGACAAGAAAACAAGAAAACTTTATCGTATTTGAGAAACCTAATGTGTCACCTAATATTTTCGAGATCATATTACGGTGAGTTTGAAATTTTGAACTGTAAATACTAATCATGTACAGTACTTAAATTTTCTTATTATTATTATTTTTATAGATACATTTATGGAGATATATTCAAATTAGAAGACTATGACCCTTTTGATATTCTTGACTTTCTTATTGCTGCCGATGAACTAATGGTTGATGATGGTTTAATAGATCATGTCCAAACATATTTGATTCATTCAAAGTCTGTTTGGATAAATGAAAACCTTTTAGATATTCTTACAGTTATTTCTCCTTGTGATTCTTGTCAACTATTACGAGAGTATTGTCTTGATAAGATAATTTCACAGGATTTAATAACCTTCTTTGATGCAGATTGGTTTCCTTCCATTAATGAATTTATACTTTTGGCTTTATTACAACGTGATGACCTTGGATTGAGCGAAACTGTCTTATGGAGATATGTTTTAAAGTGGGGTATCTTAAATACGATTGGCCTCGAAAAAAACATTGAGCAATGGTCTCCTGAAGATTTTACAACTTTGAAAACGACTCTACGTAGATGTATACCGCATATTAGATTTTTCCAAATGTCATGTTCAGATTTTTATCAACACGTTCAACCTTTCGCAATGATCTTACCCGAAAATCTTCTGAATAATATAACACTTTATCACCAAATGGAAGATCACAATTTAATAATATTACCACAACCAAGAAGCCCAGCAATGCGAATCAATTCTTCTGTCATTATTAATTCGAAATGTGGAAAGAACATTATAAATTTGATAGAGAAAAATCCTTTCCCATCTAATAATAAAAATATTAATTGTGCCTATGATTTTAATTTATTATATCGAGCAAGTTGTGATGAATACCAATCATTTCACAAAAATTGTGATAATATTGGTCCAACGCTCATTGTAATAAAAGTCAAAGGCACTAACGAAATAATTGGTGGATATAATCCTTTAAACGTTGGTTGGCAAAGAGGATGGTTTTCATTTAGTCGTGGATCAAAAGATTGTTTTATATTTTCTCTTGGTACTGATGAAAAAAAAGCAGAACTTGAAAAAGAAGTGAAATGTGGGTATATTTTATCTGATTTAGTAAATTCTGCTATATATGATCATCCACAGGATGGGCCATGTTTCGGTACAGGGCCGGACCTTTATGTTAGTCTTAAGCGCGATCGACCTTTTGGGTATCGCCAAAATAGATGTTATAAATCTAAAGTTTTTAACAGACAAGGTAGTTTTAAATGGGAGGATTGGGAGGTATTCCAAATTATTAAAAAGGTAATATAAATGGTGGAATACAAATTGTTTCTTAATTCCTAAATAAATCCATATACTTCAACACTTCTATAATGAATTTATACTTATTATTATTTACCACGTTTTTAAACCGACGTTATAATAAAATTTTAAAGTTCAGCTTGTACATAGTCTATTAGATTCAATTTATCTAGGTTTGGCTTAAAAAGATGCGATTATATAGTCCCTGTTGCAACTTTTCCTAATCCAAATTCGGCACAAGTTTTTGTAGGAGGCTTTGTAAAATTCTGAAAATTCATCGAAGAAATGCAATTCTAACAAAATTATCGAGTCTTTAAATGCATCTTCATTAAGATAATTTCAATTAGTCTTCTCGATACATTTAATAGTCCTTAATTACAATTTCAAAAATACGGTAGTAGATGTAATTAGTATGATGTGTGCATATTGATAATTGGTTCCCAAAGATATCTGCGGATTTATTTATTAATAATTATTAATGTGTTGCACACAAAAGTTACCATTTTTGAACAATAACGATAAGGAAATACCTTTACATTTTTAGATGTTAAGTATCCGTATTTTTCGTACCTTTTTTTCGGATTTCTGTTTCGGATTATTCAACCATGAACAATCACTAAAATGAGTAAATTATTAACGTTAAGATTATTTCAAATTTTGGGTCATTTGACAGTGACTCATGACAAATGACTCATTTAATCAAAAAATCTCTGGCTTGAGTCGGAAAATTTTCGTATATGATAGTCGATAGTATATATATACCGTAAAATAAGCACCTACTTTTTAAATCTCAGATATAAGAAACATTCCTAATTTGGACAGTCTCTCCTGTGGATATGGTGTAACTTTTCTGCTATCATACAGAATTTGTGTAATCAATAAATAAATTAAAGCTCGGGATAAGGAGAGAAGACTCACATGAATAATCCTCCTTGGCAGGGATGGTAAATGACCTAGTCATTTGATCAAAATTTAAAATGAAATAATGACCAGGTCATTTGGATCACTTGGGTCATTTACATATAAAGTTAATCAAATAGCTAATATAAAAAAGTTATAGAATGCTATTATTTTATTAATTGATAGTAATGACGAAATGTCGTGCCTCAGATTAATATTTGCGTCAGATTAAAACTGGCCTAAATTAGAGTTAGGACTAGGATTTAGCAAGGCCGATTATTGCAGATCATTTTAATGCTGGCCTAATGGTTTTAATGTTTTAATCTGAGGCACAACAAAAATATGGATTAACTTGGTCTAATAATCAATTTGATTGGCTAAAAGGTATTAGATTATGACCATTTGAGCTTTGAAATGACTAATGATTGGTAAAGTCATTTTCTAATTCAAATCTAATATTAACTATTCTCTAAAAAAAATGCATGCGTAGTAGAAGGCCAAATACTTTGGAACATGAAATTAACAACCCTTTTTTTTTTTTTACTGTAAAGTTTCTTGGATGCTTTTTTTAAAAACATTAAATTTCTTTGGTAATAATGAATTCAGATAAAGTTGAAGCTTGGTCCTTCAATGTCAAACCCTCTAATTTAATTGTAAGATATTTCCCGACTTCATTATTTTCAGTGTCAAAAGCTTTTAAGAATAACTATTTGAAAAAAAATAATAGTATGAATTTCTCAACATTGTATTTTTAGAACAAAAAAAATGATGACCGTAAGCTACTCCTTTTTTTAACTGATCAATTTACCTCATTAGGTCCGAATTTTTCTACTTTAAACCAATACTTTTTCTCCCCTCGTTCATCATTTTCATCATCATCTTGAATCCAATAAACACGATCTCCTTTATCATTAAGAAGTTCACCATCTTTTGAAATTTCAAATATTGAACTTTCATTCGTGACATTCCATTTGAATTGTAAAATTCCCGAAGAATCGAGACTTAAAATGTGACCGTCATGAGCCCTAACTAAACCTTTGTGCAGTGGTTCAACTAGTGATCCATGAAACATTTAGAACATTTCGTGTAGAGTTTCTCTCAATCTAATAATAATCCATATTTTTTATTTTTTACCTTTGGTCATTTTAAAGCAAGAATGTTTTCGGGTATAAAATAATGAAATAAATTGTATATTTATAACTTTATATGTAGTAATAATTACATCATATCCAAAATTACAATTTAGTCCTTATTTGATTTAATTCTTGTAAATATTGCGTATGAAAACTCTTGATGGCTATTCAAATATAGTACGTTGTTTTTTTTTATTACCCGTGTTACGAATGTATATAAAACGTATCATAACTAGTTGATTGGTGATGTCATCAAATTCAGCCGAAACGATAGAAATTAAATGTCTTTTTTTAAAAAAAGGTTAATTCTAACAATCAACTACCTAGCTAAATTCGATTAAATTTTTGAATTTTACTAAAACGCACCTATGGTGTTTTACACCTAAGTATGCATTATCTCGAAAACTGGCTAATTAATCAGTACGAGGTGTTCTAAGTAAAGATGTTCTACGTCCCTGAAAACCCTTCCCAAACCCTAATACTAACTTAAAAACTAACCCTAAAATGAAAAAATTCAAGTCAAAAATTTCTATAATAAAACTTATAAAAACAAAAAATTTAAAAAAACATAATAAAAACATATAATAGGTGCAAAACACTATAGGTGCGTTTTATAATAATTGAAATTTTTTTAGAATACTTCTATTAAGTCTGTAAAATTAAATTTTTCATGTTTTTAAAAGTTTGTAAACGTGTATTTTCTCAACTTTACTACTTAATAAATTCGACAATAATTTTTTTATTAAAAATAATTCTACGATTCTATAAATTAGAAAATTCTTCATATTACTAGCGGTAGATAATTCTTGAGATTTCTTTCTTAAACTTAATAAAATATTTTTAGAGGTTTTATTATTTTATAAATTAACATTGAAACAGATATTATGACAACATAATGCTAGAGATGGATTAGTCCGGTCCAGTCCATCCTGGTCCCTTATAAGACCAGTTCTGATCCTTAACCTTAGTTATTTTAACCTATAATCATATTTTTGGCTAGCGGAGAGAATTGAATCATATAACGAGTACTGGAGTGTAAGCAATTATGTAATATACTTTTTTTTTAATGTAACGGTAATTGATATTTATAAAGACTAGTCCAGGCTGGTCTCAGAACTGAGGACCAGGTTAAAAGACTGATCCTATTAAAGTAGTTTCATAAGCAAAATTTTGATTTCTTTTAAAAAATGAGCAGTAAAGATGATGATCGATCACACTGTAAATAATTACTTTATTGGTCGCCAAATTTTTTTTATTGCTATCATAATAAATATCGTCGAATGTATTAATCATTAAATTTAATTCATAACAAAATGAACGATATGCTTGCTTATAATTATTAGAAATCGTTTATTAAATCTTATAAGATGTAACAATTTGCATAAATATAGTAATTTTTCAGAATACAGAAAATATATTTAATAAAGTATGAGTATTAGAAAATCAATATATTATTAACCTTGAATTATTTATTTAACAATATTATTAATATTTACAATGTTTCCATCAAAAAAAATTCACAATACGCGTAGAAAGTAATTTAGAAATCTTGATAATTTCGTTCGTAATCTACTAGACCTACGGGCGGCTTAGTCGTTAGAGGCGTGTTAGATTTGGCGAGTGGTTGGATGTCCATAGGTAAGTACCCTCTTAAATTAGAAATTATTAGAGATTATTTTTAAAATTAACTTTCTGGCACCTCTTTGAAGCTAAAGACGATATTTGTTGAGAGTAGTTATTTGTATACGTTATTTTTAATCGCGTTACTATAATTGATGAAATAAAATAAACAGTAGATATTGAATGTTAAATTAACGATAATAGAATAATTTATTTCTGTTATCATAGTCGAGAAATAAAAAAAAAACAATGCACATTTGGAAAATTGCACTTACCGCGGGGGAGACTCAAGAGAGTGAGTTAATCCGGTAATTTCTCAACAATTAGTATATTATAATCATCGACATAAAAGCTTTAATAAATACATATTTATTTAAGATTAGGTATTGAATGTTAAATTAGCGATAATAGAATAATTTATTTCTGTTATCATAGTCGAGAAATAAAAAAAAAAAAGTGCATATTTGGAAAATTGCACTTCTACGAGGAGACTCAAGAGAGTAAATTAATCAGGTAATTTCTCAACGACTAGTATATTATAATCATCAACATAAAATCTTTAATAAAAATATATTTATTTGCCACCATATTTTCGTTTTTCATTTCGTTAAACGTATATTTCGGTTATTATTTTTATTGAGCAGGTATGTTACAACGCGCTCATCTTTTCGTGTACTGAAAATCAAAACAAAATCATTAATTTAGGGTCAACGCAGATGTTATAAAGTTGTCTTAGAAATTATGATGTATTATATTATTCACACCATTAGTATCTTGAATATTGATCCTCAACTATTATATGTCTTTTCAAATTTCCTCAGAATCGGTAAATATGATATAAACGATTTAAAATTTTTTGAGTTATCAGTAATAAGAGGTTTTGCAAGTGAAAAATTTTTTTCTCGTCTCTATAACGATAAATGATTTTTTTTTTTGAGAAAATCTGATAAACTCGTGGATATTATACATGTTCGGAAATTAAGTACTGTTTATCATTGCGTATTTGTTACGTAAATAAAATGTAGCTGGTAGCGTTAGTAACTTGCATAACAGATAAATATAAGTTATCACAGTGTTCGACAAAATAGCATAGTAAATATATTGTGTGTATTAAAAAAATAAGGTGAATCCTTCTCTAAATTAATAATTTAATAAAGAGTAGTTTTGAGTTTCGTTCACTGCACTTCTTTGCATAGTGAGCTCGTGATTTTGCACATATTAGTATAAAATACAGTTATTATTTATGACTTTTCTTTTTCTTTAGGCGACTTTAAATTAAAACCTCGTTTAACGTTATTTTTTTAAAAAATTTGCATGGTGGAGGGGAAAAATTAAACAAACAATAAAATCTAGGCTCAAGTGAACCAAACTTAGATTCATCGGAACCTAAATCAGGTTCAAGTTGAACCTAACGATGATTAACCAAAAAAAAATTTTGTTTAACTTTATTAATTGTAATTTTTGGGGAGAGACCTGTAAGTGGGGGGATAACGTTAAACGAGGTTTTAATTTCAAGTTGCCTTATATATATAATTTTATTCGTCTTTTTAATTAGTGTATCAAAGTTGATTTGATCAATATTACCAAACTGTTTTTTAAATTTTTTTATTTGAAAACTAATGTATTAGACTATTTTTGTAAATTGAAATCTATTCATTTCTTAGCCAATTCAACATGCCAATCAAGAGTTTTAGAAGCAAACTCTAATTGCTCTCCTTTGCAGATTCTTATAGCAAGTTTAGTATCGAAATTACACCTATCAAAAGGTCTTTGCCCAGTTAATATTTCTGCTATGATAACACTAAGCCATAAATATCTGCTCATTTAATAAAACTTCAAGAGCAACATAGTGCATGACACCATAAATATTTTCATCCTTTCTAGACAATCTTAGATCTGCAAGATTGCATAATTTTATAGGTGCGTTGAACTTATAAGATATTACCACTATGAAAGTCAGCATGAATGTATTCTGTATATCTGAGAGTGTTATCTAAATCATCAGAAATATCTTTAATTGTAATTTATCTTGCCATTAGTGATCCTGGCCGATAGTGAAAAAATCGGCTTATCCGGTCGATTTTTTTTTTTTTAATTATAATGTAGAAAATGAATGAACTTAATCCTCCAAAGGATTCCGAAAGTTTAATAATAAAAAATCGACTAAGCCGGCTAAGCGATAAAATTTTATCGGCTTAGCCGGTCGAAAAATTTTGATCACTACTTGCCATGTAAGTTTTCTAAAATTATTTCTTGAAGACTCTAGTTATTCCATATACTTACTATTATTTGATTTACATGTCATATGATCTTTAAACTTTAGAATAAATTGGTTCAATAAACAACAATTATAAAAATACTGTAACTAACTAATAAACAAATTATTAGCCTACTTCTTTTAAAAAATCAAAATTGACTGTTCAGGTTATGAGTGCAACGATATTAGATGTTTTACATATTTGCCAAAGAATTTAACTTGTGATCGATTTTTTTTTTACACCATCTAATAAGGTTGCAGAATATACAAATCCAAATCCTTTTTTGCCGATTTCTTTAACATAAAATATCTATCAAATGGAATCCATTCAATTTCCTCCTAATTCCAGGCTCTAAGTTGAAATTTTCTAATATAATTATCATTATCTTTGTCCCGACATTTTACTCTTCTTGAAACCATACACTCCGTTATACTACGTGCCTGGTATCTCTAAATATTGCTCTTCCATAGCCGTAACAATGGTCCTACCTGTAATTGAAAAGATTACACAAAATCCATACGGGCGATTGACTGTTCGCAGCTATTAAAATAATTCGAAAGGATTACACAAATTTTACTTGATCAGAAGAAATGTCGACATTTTGCAAAATTAGATCATCTAATAACTATTCGTAATTACCACTATTAGAGATAAGATATTGACTTGTAGTATTTATGAAAGATTAAGGTACTTACGCTTCCTCATCATAACTACATATGGTATATCGCTTTCATTAAGGGAGATTGTAGATTCGTTTATGTTGGTGCTCGTCGAGAAGTGCTTGCCGAGGAGGTGATAGTCTCATTTACGTTAGTGCTTGTTGATAATTAATAGGAGACTTTCTTGTACGATTTGAAATATGTTGCTTCCTTTGTTCGTATTTTTTCTTAATTTGAGCGTTCAGGGAATTTTCCAAATACCAGACCCAATAAGAAGCGTTCAGGGCGCTTTTAAATTACCAGACTCTTATATAAGGAGCGTTCGGGGCACTTTTTCGAAGCACCAGACTTCTTAAGGGGCGTTCAGGGAATTTTCAAAATACCAGACCCAATAAAAAGCGTCCAGTGAGCTTTTAAATTACCAAACTCTTATATAAGGAGCATTCATGGCACTTTTTCAAAGCACCAGACTTCTTAAGGAGCGTTCAGGGAATTTTCAAAATACCAGACCCAATAAGAAGAAGTCATGAAATAAATTACGACATTTTAATATACAGTACAGAAACCTCATATACATAATAAGGTCTTATATATAGAATAAGTTCACATCACATAATCTGAAATTTGGCACAAATTCGTCGCCATAGAAAATCACTGTCCTTGCTTGTCGATTCTGATTAACATCACTCTAATATAAAATAAAGTAAAAATAAAACACAAAAAAAATGTAAAAGAATAAATAATTAATTTAACTAAGTTTTCATAACGTTCATTAGCTTTATTTCTTTCATTATCCAGACGTTCATTAGCTTCTTTTCTTTCCTTTTCAAAACGTTCTCTTTCATAATCAAGACGCTTTTCTTGTTTTTTATAAAGTTCGTTAAGTGTTCTATCTTGTATCTCAAGCCTTTCTCTTATATGCGACATTTTAAAAAAATATTTAATATTTTAATATTTATTTTTTTATTTATATTTGTTTAAAAATAATAATACGATGAAACCGCAGTATGAAATTCGTATTAGATTTTATATATCCGAATTTCAAAGTTTTGTAAAATTTTCGATCATCCAAGTTTTTATAGAAACTTTTGCATTATCAAGGATAACCATGATTATAAAAATTCGATTTAAACAGTATTATATAGTTTAAATTCCTCTTTGCAAAAAATAGCTGTAATTCCGTATTGTTAACAATATACTTTAAATTTTTACTTTGATTTCATCGATAATACTCAATGCAATTTCGACAGATATTAATAAAATCTTGGTTGTTCAAAATTATAACTTGTGTTATATTTTTTTTTAATCCAGTTAATAAATTCTTGTTCATATCGAACTTTGCAAAATTTTTAATATTCGTAGGACCTTTAATTAATTATATGCTTAGGAAAAAAAATGAACGGTCTTTTTTTACTTTAATAACTATATTCTATGCTGTATTATAATATAAGACATTTGATAAATAATATAAAGATCAATAAAGAACTGCTCAAGCATTGATTACAATTTCTATTTTAATTGATTGTAGTAAATGAGCACCATTACGATCCCTAACAAATACTTATGTACAGTAAATAGTGGAACTTCTTAAATGTTAGGGATGTTAATCGGTCCTTTGGGATCGAATCCTAGCCGATCCTTCAAGGATCAGTAGGGATTCGATCCTTACAGCTGTTTTCATAAATTCTGGGACACTTAAAAATTTATTCGTTTCCCGAAATCTCTTCGGTTTCGGGAAAAGAATAAATTTTTAAGTGTCCAGAATTTATGAAAACAGCTGTGAATCACGTGAGAACTATATAGGAATTAGATCACGGATCGATTTTTGGATCTAATCCTTTTAAAAATCCTAGGACCTGCTTTTGTTAAACGTTAGAACAGCCCTCTGCCTTTGCATTAATCGCCACTGGTACGGAATATTTTTTTTTATAAGGCATACGCCTTAATTTTGAAACTTTATGGTTCCCAGTTTGAGTGTTTGGCGATACAAAGTATGATTTTAAACCAACTTTTTAGAAGAAAGTAAGATGTTTATGAAGATAACCATCTCTGGATTTAAATAAAATATAGATGATAAGTGAGTAAACTTATAAAATATAGATGATAAGTGAGTAAACTTATAAAATATAGATGATAAGTGAGTAAACTTATAAAAATTAAATTATTGAGTATTTTATACTAAATAAAAATTTTCAACTAACTCGGTTTGTTGAGCTATTGACCGACCTTGTTATAATTTAGAAATTTAAATAGCAACAAAGGCTTTATTATCTTCCTCACTAATGACAAAGATGATATGCCTTAAAGAAGTTAATTTTTACTAGCATTAAATATATAATAAAAGGTGAATTAAGCTAATAGAAGTTAAATTAATATATATAACTTATACTTGTTGATGTTTGTTTTTAAATTTTTGTGATAATAATTAAAGTATTTGTTTTTTTTTACCATCTTCTCACTAATGACAAATATTATATATCTTAAAGAAGTTAATAAATAAAAGGTGAATTAAGCTTATAAATATTAAATTACTATTAATTAAAAAGTATAATTTATATTTATTGATGTTTGTTTTTAAATTTTATAATAATAATTAAAGTATTTATTTAAAGTAAACTATTCTTTAATAATAAGAACAAAGATAATATGTTTTAAAAAAGTTTATCAACAAAAATAAATATCTAATATAATAAAAACAAAAGTTGTATGTATTAAAAATCTTTAGTAACAAAAATAGTATTGCTTTTCTTAGTAAACAAATACAATATATATTAAGATAAACAAAATAAAACAAGACTTTACAACTTTCTTTGTCGATCACTTTGACCAATTTTGGAGCAGAAAGAAAAACCAAGTTAACTCAAAATTCTCACTAAAAACAAGTATAAGATCCTTTAAGTAAAAAGAAAAAAAAGAAAAAAATATATATACTGAAGCAAAAAGAACTGAAAAAACTAAAGAAAATTAAGTATTATAGAAGAAGTTTAGGCTTTAAACAAAATATGAAAACTTTTAGAAAATTCTTTTAGGGAATTAAATAAACTCTGAAACACAGATCATTTCATGTAGTACAAATATATACAAAAAAGGTAAACAAAACATACTATAGGTAAATTACATATCACGTGTTTGAAACATAGACAGTATATGCAAGACCAAACTTGACAAATCATAGGTAATCAGAAAAAATCACTAGGAATTTCAAGAAAAAGATGAAGTTATTTTAAGATACAATATCTAAGGTCTTAAATAAAGAAAAAGCATTTTAGACTAAACAAGCAACTCATATAGATATATCAGAGAGCAAACTAGAATAATAAAATATAGAAAAAAGAAAAGACCAAGAGACTGATTAAAGAAGTAATTAAAAAATACAGTAAGGAAATAGCAATAGAAGAAAGCAATACAGTACTAGGCTTAGAAGAGTATTTAGACAAAATAGTAGCTGAGTTAATAGATATAGAATTAGAAATTATTAAAATAGCTAGGCAATGGTATGCAGTAATTAAAAGAGCTGTAATAACAGATGGATTCAATAGAGTAAGAGTATTAATAGAATTAGAAGAAGAAAAAAGAATGAGTTATATAGAAGAAACAGAAGTAAAGACAAAAGAAATTAAAATAAAAGTAGAAGAAGAACAAGCAACTCCATATATATCAGTATTCTCTTAAGGTTATATAATACTAAACAGCTTAAGCAGTGAACTTATATTAACTACTAAAGCTAATAGCAATATATCAGAAGATATGAAAAATATCAAAACAAGCAAAATTGTAAGAAGTGCTGCAGTTAATCAAAAAGATTCTGAAGCTAAGAAACAAGCAGATAATGAAGTAGATTTAGAAGTACACAAAGAAGTTTCTCTAGATCAAAGTATATAGGCTTCAAAAAAAGAAAGCTGTGCAAATAAAGGAAATATTAAAACAAAGGTGGCTATTATAAATATACTTAATGATAATTTAGAGCAAAGAAAAAAATCTCTTAGATAGTTACTCAGAGAAAATATATATTTAAAAAAGATCTCTGAAAAAGTTAAAAAAAGAAACCTATAGTATGTAATTATTTTTAATTGTGAAAAAGATTATGAAGAAGTAAGAGCAAAACTAGAAAACTCTAAAGAAGATTTTGAAAAATTGAGACTTATATGAAAAGTAACCTAGCAAATACTCACAAACAAAAAATTATAAGAAAAATTACTAAACAATACAAAAAAAGAAAAAAGCAAAGCTGAGAAAGAAAGTAAAACAAAGAAAGAGCTTGAAGAATTTTCTAAACAAAAAAAAGAGAAAACATCTCAATACTCTACCTCAAAACATATGGCTGCAATAGAAAACAATCTAATATTCAATTGACAAGACAAAAAAGGAATATTAGAAACATATAAAGACTATATAACAATATAGAACCTTCTAACTTAAGCAAGAAGATCTCAGGTTTTTGAAACAATATAGTAACTAAGAAGAGTAGTTCACATAGAAATGATTAAAAAACCTTGTGATAAGATAAGAGCAGAAATAAGCTTATTTTCTAATACAACAAATACAAAAGATTTAGCAGAGATATAGTACTTGCCTTTTATAAAAGATTAACTAGTTAGAGTTACAATAAGAAAATGTAATCTTGAGGAGCTGAAAACATATAATACTTTTAACAGAAAATTGCTTAACTTGTCAGAAGATACAAATAAAGTTCTTTTATGGAGATAAGTAAAACATATAGGTGCTAAAGCATTATATATTTTTAGAAACTTTAATAGTAATAGCAGAAGAAGCACAACTGTATATTTTAAAAATAAAAAGGATTGCATAAATAACATAAAGTTTGCAGTTCTCTATTTTAATACTTAGCTTAGCTAGGCAAAAGAGAAAGACAAGATAATAGAAAATAGAGAAATAGATACTGAAAAAAGGAAAACATACTATAGCAAGATATACAAAGAAAAATATGTAGAGTTTAAGTTTTTCAGATACTAAATCAAGCAAAGATGAAGTATTAGATACTGAAAATTTAGACAAAGAATGTCAGTGAAGAGGTACATATTCTAAAAGAAAAAGTAAAGAAATTAGAAAAGAGAAAAGAAGAGCTCTTCTTAGCAAAGTATCTAGCAGTACTATAATACCTCAAAAGCTATATAGAAGTTATGAGAACTTTATAGACTATATGCTGTAGCTCATAAGAAGCTTTGAAGAAAAAATTCAAAATATGAAGTAGGATGCTCCTAATCACTTCTAACAGGTATACTAGTAGAATTAATGATAATAGACAGTAGTGCTAACTGTCTTCAGTTAGAAAGGAGAGCAGAGAAAAGAAATAAAGCAGGAGAGAATGGAAATATTATAGTAGAAGACTATTAGATATTAAATATAACTATACATAATATTAATAGGATCAAAGGCAACTCAGTTAAATTAAAAATGCTTTTGGAATAAGCAAAACAAGAGAAAATAGATATAATTGAGATTAATGAAACTAACACAATAGAAAGACAAAACAAGTTTAGTATGAGTGGACATAAAGATTATTTAGAGATTTAAACAGATACAGAAGAAAACAAGAAAAAAGAGTCTGAAGTAGAATTAATCATAAATAAGAAATGAGAAAAGTATCTGAACCAGATAAAACAAAACAATATATACTATATAGAAGCTTTTTTCATCTTCAAAAAGCAAAAAGTATAGGTAATAGTAGTATACATTTCTCATAATGATTAGAAGACTAAAAAGAAGATACAGCAACAAGTTATAAAAAGAATCTATAATTGCTGAAAGAAAGCTATAAAAATTATAGTATTAGCTAATCTGAATAATATAAGATGCAAAGATCTAGACTAAAACAGAGAAGACTCAAAACAAACTCAGAAACTTCCTCTTCTGAATTAGCTAAATAACTCAGATATAGTAGACATATTCAGAAAATTATACTCATA